GTGTGATTAAGATGCGAGTTTTGCATGTAGAGGGCTCAGCTTGCATGTAATAAATGCTAACTCTTATTACTATTTTGTGAAAGAGAACCTATATCTTAGAGTGGGTCTTAGCTGCTTGCTAAAGGTCTGGCCACCATGAGGTGGGGGGCTTTGAATCTAGTTCCTGCTTCCATCTAGAGACTGACCTTTTGACTATGCTATGCTGCCCCAACCGTGCAGACACATGGAGAAGTCAGGCTCTACCCCAAAGTCATGAGATCAGTCTGCAGATGGATCACATTTCAAGCCAGGGTCTGTGTGACTCCAGAACTTTCACCTCACTTCAGTCTTTAGTCAACCACGTGGCCAGCAAACTCGGCCTCCGTACTGTGTTTATCACTGGTCTAAAGCACCAGAGCTGGAAGAAAATACTTGTTTTGGTGTCCTCCACCACCATTCACAATTTTCTGCTTGCATTTTTTCTGTCGTTTGGCTCAGATGAATAGCAGTTTTTATCTTTGCTCTGTGTTATCATGTACACAAAACTGTAGCTGGGGGAGCTAGCAGCATGTTTGCTTAGTCTTTATTCTGGGAAGGGGTGCCAGCCAGTCAATAGCCTTTATTTTTTTACACAACTCTGTACACTGCAAACGCCGAAATAATGCACAGCATTTGAGTACAAAGCCACCATCAGACACCTATCATTTCTGAAGGTGGGCGAAGCAGAGGTGGCGGCACGGAGCTGGAGCCAGGGATTCTGACTTGCTTCCTTTGTTGGGAGCCCAGGAGTTGGATTGTACCTCCTCGATGATTCATTGGATAGATTTTATGGTTTTTATCAACTAAAAGGATAAAGCAAACAGCACAGGAAAGGTGCCAAGACGGGGAAAATTCCTCAAGGAAAAAAACTGTTAAAGATAAATCCCAGAAATGTAGGCTTCATATTGAACTCAGCAACATTGTGGGGGTGCATGGGATGCTTGCTGTGAGCCCCAAAGTGACTGCTCAGAGTCAGTGTGAGTTTTGAGTGGAGTCTGCCATAGGACTGTCTTGCAAAGGCTGAGAGTTCTTAGAACCAGGCCAACCAGAATGGTTAGGGTCACCTGATCAACTCCCGGGGATGCCAGGCCAGAGGTGGGATAAGAGGTGGAAATCCAGTAAATGGAAGCAAAGCCAGGTTGCAGCTAATGGGAGGAACTGGAGTAGTCTTTGGCCTGGGAGAGGAACAGGAGTATGTGCCTGGGTGATAGACAAGGGTAGAGGCAAATGAGGCCATTCATTTGTTGATTCAGCAAACACTCTTGAGCTGGAATTATGTGCCAAACCCTGCTATAGGCTGGGAGGCCTTTGTGGTGAACCAGGTAGAATCCCTGCCTTCCTGGAGAGTATGTTGTTATGGGGAATAACGATATAAAAATGGTACAATACTCTCTGATAGTGATGAATACTGTGAATGAAGAAAATAAACATACTGATGGTACTTGGTAAGTAGGAGAGGGACATTTTTCTAAAGCTTGGGTGGTAAAGACCTCTTTGAGAATATGACACTTGACTCAAGGCCTAAATGATAAGCCAGTTATGGGACAATCTGAGGATGGAGCTGAGAAGCATTTCATAGGAAGTGCAAAGGTCCTGAGGCTGGAATGATCTTGGCATTTCAAGGAGTAAATGAAAGCTGTGTGGCTGGGAGAAGAGGGAGATGGGACCAACTTTTGTAGTGTCCCAGGGATCATAAAGGAGTTTGGGTTTTATCCTATGTGCAAAGAACATCCACAAGAGGATTTTAAGCAGGTGAATGGTTTGATCTGAGTTCTAAGAGTGCCTTAGTTCTGTGGGTATGTAGTTTTCTGGAACAAATAAGGACAAGCAAATTTTATTTCCTTGGAGATGGAGGAGACAAGGGAGGGGAGACACTGGGTCAGGAGTTTCTAACTACATGGTGAATCTTGATTGCACAGGAGGGAATGTTTGATAAAAGCTCTCATGGAAGAATGGAGAAGGGATGATAAGTACTCTATGGACTTATTCCCCCAAAGTGTTGATCCGGGATTACTGTCAGGCTGGGAGGAGGGTCTCCAGCGCTGTCCTCACGGCACTGCCCCAGGCTCTCTCCTATTCAACATTTCAGTCTGTAAATTGGCGGAGGACTCAGAAGACACTCTCATCAGGCATGCAGCTGACACCGAGCTGTCAGGGACAGCTAATGCCATGGATGACAGGCTCGAGATTCACTGTGATGATCCTCCACTGGCTGGAGTGATGGGATGAGAGCAGCAATATCCCTGATTGCATTGAGATTGGGGAACGGAGCCCAACCAGGGGGCCAGGGGAACTTGCCGGAGAACTCTTTCCAGAAAAGCGGAGCCTGGGCTGGGGGCAGAGGAGTGAAGGAAGACAGCTGGACCAGCCCTCACACAGTCTTCCTCTCTAGCACAGTAACAAGGTCCTCAACCTTTCAGGATCACTGTTCCTATCTGTGAAGTGGGGATGATACTACTTGCTGCCTTGAGGCATGCAGAGGATCGAATGTGAGTGTGGACACAGATGCCTGGCTTCTGTTTGGCCATGGTGGATTAATGAAAATTGGTGCCTGGGGGTGGGCTTCTAGGAGCATACGGAGGGCTCACAGCCAGGGTGCTGCTTCTAGGGATACTAGCTTTCTAAGAGAACCTGTGATGTGTCCGGAGAATGACCAGGGTGATTGGATTCTGAAAGCCATGTCCCCGAGAGCCACTATGAATTCACAATAGAGAGAAGGAGGTGATTACAACTGGGAGGACAAGAGTGTTTTCTCAGCCCACAAGGGCTGAGAGTGGAAGCAGAGAAGGTGCCTTCATTGCTCCAGGTGCCAGCAGCGGTGCGGTGTGGGGGAGCTGTACAGAGGTGATACGGGCATGTCATAGCTGAGATCTAACCACCAATAATAACATTATAGTAATTATGCCGTGAATGTTTCTCGAGGGCTTACTATGAGCCAGGCTTCTGCTAAGTATTTTGCATAATTTATCTCAGAGCATCCTCACAGTCTCGCCTTGAGAGGTAGGTGTTATCCCACTCGACAGATGAGAAATACAAAGCTTAAGTGGCGGCTACTGAGGGGCAGCACCGGGATTCACACTCAGCACCCACTGGATCCTCTCTGCCTGGCTACTGGTTTCAGAGTGGTAGAGTCTGAGAAGGGACACACCTGGGGTATTTTTGGTAGCAGGAACTCAAGGCCCCATGCATATTTTAGAAGCTGTTTTTCTGCTCTTTGGAGCTGGTACGTTAAAGGATTCAGCTGTGAACATTTTGTGTGTGTGTGTGTGTGTGTGTGTGTGTGTGTGTGTGTGCGCATGTGTGCTTGTGTGTGTATATGTGTAAAATTTTTATTTTTTAAAAATGGCCAGGCGTAGTGGTACAGGCCTATAATCCAAGCTACTTGAGAGGCTGAGGCAGGAGAATCACAAGTTCAAGGCCAGCACGTGCAACTTAGCAAGAAAGTGTCTCAAAATAAAAAATAAAAAAAGCTGGAAATTCAACTTAATAGTAGGGCACTTGCCTACCATGTTCTAGGCATTGATTCCCACTACTCTAAACAAAACAAAAACCAAACAAAACCCAAACAACCAAGCAAAAAACAGAAACCAAACATAGACAAAAGCAGAGTGAATAGTGTACAGTGATCCCATATGTCTAGCTCCAGTTTTTACTATGATCAGTGTCTGCAACATGCAACAAATCTCATTTCAGCTGTTAGGTCCCTGTCCTTTCTCTCCTGCTACTGGATTAATTTTAAAGAAAACTCCAGACGTTGTTTTATCCAGAAATACTTTGGCACACATCTCAGAGATAAGGACTCCCTTTGGCTGCTGTTGGAAAATAACCACAATACTATTGCTACAGTTTTTAAAAAATTAACAAATTGTAGTGAGTCTTTCTAATCCAGAAAAGTAACTGGCACCTAGCTTGCTTTGTAAGGTCTTGGGGGTGGGAGGGGAGGCAGAAATGAGTCCTTCCAGTGCTAAATGCCTGGGACTGAGACCCACCTGTTCCCTTTGAGGAGGAGGAGGAAAGAGAGGAAGGAAGAAAGAGATCTGAAACTTGGGGCCATGGATCAGCAACCTCTCGGTCCTGATTGCTCCCAGGAGCACAGCAGTGTGAGTAGGGCCTATTTATAGCCCTAAGTCTAGACAAGGGAAGAAGTCAAAAGGAGGGAAGTAAGTGAGAGGGCAGAGGAGAGGGAGAGGAGGAAAGCAAAAATCAAGAGCAGGACCAGGTCTTGTAACATACACAGCCTGGGGGCCCCTCCAGGAGCTTGACCCCCATCCATGTCAGCTAATGCTCACAGCCCACATGCGCTGAGCGGGCTCACATGTGCTTACCTCCCACATTCGCCTAGACATCCCACAGGCAGCGTCATACCCCTTGCCCAGGAAGGATCCTGAAGTACTCGGGCCTGGTATGACATAGGGAGTGGTGCCCAGCTTCAAGCTCAGTCTGTTTGAATAGCGCCAGCTTGCTCCTGGCAGTACTCTGCCTCCATCCCCAGGAGGTGGCCATAGGGCTGAGGCCAGGAGGTTCAGTTGCCTTGGCGGACACATACTTTATGTATTATTGGCACAGCGTTCTGTACCAGCCTGTGCCCTAGGACCCCTGGGCTTTGACAGAAACCAGCAGCTATAGGCCTCATTCAGGGACAGAGGAAGACTTTAGGTTTGTAGTTATGCTCATTCTGATGGACTGTCACCTGTGGGGGCCACCCCCTAGTTCTGTGTGGCAACATGTGACTCCTGTGCCTTCCTGGTTCTGTCCAGGTGCATGAGGGTGCTGTCATGCCCCATGGGGTGGTGCTGAGCTCCGTGGTGAGTTCACAAAGTGTTTGCTTTTGCTTCCTCAAAGGAAGCAGCAGATCTTCCTCATCAGGAAAGTAGTTTTCATCAAGCGTGCCTCCACCCCCTGTCCTGGGGCACATGTCCTGCAGCAGAGCCTCCCTGGGGGAGTAGGCACTAACACTGCTTGTCTCTCTGACTTGTTTGCAGAGCCCTGGAGCTCAGCAGGGGAAGAGATGAGATTTCCCTCCTGGTGGAGCAGGAATTCTTGAGCCTCACGAAGGAGCACCTCATCCTGGTCCAAGAGAGCTCAGAGGAGATGGAGGCTGCTGGCGATGATACCCAGGGGACCAGAGAGCTGGCTTCTTGTGTTCTTGCACCTTTCCTGGTGGCAAGCAGCAGCGAGTGCGCAGGAGCCTCTCTCACTCCTGGCGACAGGCTTCAGGAGCAGAGGGTGGCCATGTCCATTATTGGCAGCCGGCAGAACTGCGATTCTGCCATGTCTACGGTAACAGGCATCCTGCGTGCTGCCAAGATCAGGAATGCCAAGGGGACCGAGGACGGGGGCCACAGCCTGGCTGACTGCAACTCGGAGATCAGTAAACTCTTGGCCCAGTTCCCGCTGAAGTCCACGGAAATGTCCAAAGCCCCTGACAACAAGATGGTGCTGGAGGAGACAAAGGTCATCAAGGACTTCTTGCAGAACAGTATTTTCAGTGGCTCTGGACCCAGAGAGCCCACAGGGCTAGGCCCATTCATGCTCCTGCCTCCTCCACCTCCTCCGGCACCCCCAGACAAGTTCTCTGAGCTCCCTGCCCAGAAGAGGCAGCTTCCAGTGTTTGCCAAGATCTGTTCCAAGGCTGAAACTGACCACGCCGTGGAGGGGCATCACTTGATGGGTGAGTGGGGCTGGGAGCCGGCAGAGAGCACCCTACAAGGAGGAGAGCCTCCCAGGAAGCCAAGCAGGGCTGCAGTGCACACACAAAGTATCCTTGTGCAAAGCAGGACAAAGCAGCCTCTCTGGCAGGCACAGGCTTCCAGGTGCAGGGTATCCTTGGCCTCCTCTGCTGGACACACACGGGCAAGGCATGTTGTGCAAGCAGGTGCAGAGGCCCCAATCCCCACCAATTTGAGAGAGATAAGCACCCTGCAGTGGAGCCTGTAGTGACTGGCCCAGCTTCGGACTCCACTAGGTATCCAGAGCATACCGAAGGGTCTGGGTGACACTGCAGCATGGCAGCTTTCAGAGGGACAGGAGAGGGATATGATTGGCTCCTGATGGAGACATCTGCTCTGGCCATGAGGCCTATCCTTTCCTGATGGGGCAGGAAGGGAATGCATAAGTTATGCAGGCACAGGGGCTCAGGCAAGTGCCTTCCTATCCCCTAATTGAGGAGTCCACATCCTTCTCAGAAAATGCAGTCACCCCCAACCTCAAACCACCCCCCACACCCCAGGGTTCTTCTTTTTGTTCTGATCTCACCACTCAGACTGGATGGTTCCATGGAGACAAATGGATGGCAGTGGCATTCACCCACAGTCAGCAGTCACCAGGGGAGTAGATCATATTCATGCCAACCAAAAGAAGAATGACTCTCAAACTGTGTGCATGGATGGGCAACCAAGAGAAGCTTGTATCCAAAAGGCCCCAATCCATCTCCCTGAGAAAACAAAAACAAGGTCACCTTCAAGAATATCCTGTATTCTGGAGCACTTTAGGGAGCCCAGGGAATTGGAGTCAGGGACAGCAAGCTGGAGCTAGTATTGGGTAGGCCTGGCGGAGCCACCTGGGATGATGGGTTGGCAGTGGGAGAGGACTAAGCCCTTGCCTAGGGGCAGGGACCTTCCTCCTATTCATCCTGGAGGGACCTAAGGATACCTCTATGCTGGGTGGGGCTGCTGGACTAGATGTGGTCCTGCCAACCCAGACTCCCCACCATTTGTGTCTGTGCACAAACATGTGTGCAAAGGTGTGCCAGAGGAAACATTGCCAGAGTGAGTATATTTGTTAGAAAATGCACGAGTGGTACATCTGCATGTGTCTGTATGTATATGGTTGTTGGCCCATGTGTCTGTCATGGATTTGATGGTATGAACGAGGGAGAGAAGAGTCAGGCAGGAATGTGCGTGCATGTGTGTGTGTGTGTGTGTGTGTGTGTGTGTCTATGCACATTCCCATGCCTTGGACTTAGAGGAGGGAGTGCTATAGATGTCTATGGGACTATAGGTATGTGAGAGAAGTTGCAGGTGTGTATGTCTCTGGGGAACAGACTATTATTAGTTGCCATGTTATTTCAGCACACTAGCTAGGGGCTAAACTCAGCAACTAGAGAAAATCTTGGAAGAGACTCTAGGGACATGTTTTGCTAAAATTGTCATTGTCTCCTAAATTGGCCCAGACTAGAGCAGCTCTTTCCTTTGTTGCGATAGTGCTCGGACAGGCTCAGTCTCAGCAAGATCAGGCCCAAACACCTCACTGGGTTAGGGGTCCACGAACTGGTAGGATCAAGTCCACTCCAAGCAGGCAGCACTGAGGCCCAAGTCCTCTGATTTGGCCATGACCAGGGTTTCCAGGTGCCTGAAGTGTGTCCGGCACTGTGCACAGCTATTCAACGGGCGGGTGACTTTCATGGCCAACCTCGGTGGAAACTTCAGAGACCACCGCGAAAGGGAAGGAGTGAAGGAGGATGGGGGTACAGGGCCCCTCAACTATATATACATTTCAAGACCCCCCTCAGATACCAAAATCTGCAGGTGCTCAAATCCTTACGTAAAATGGCATATAACCAGAGCACATCCTCCTACATACTTACCTCCTACATACTTTAAATCATCTCTAGATTAACTATGATGCCTAATACAATGTAAATGTTATGTAAATAGTTGTTTTACTGCATTGTTCATGGAATCATGACAAGAAAAATGTCTGTACATGTTCAGTAAAGGTGTGATTTCTTCAGAACATTTTTCATCCATTCTTACACACACACACTTAATTTTGTTTGTAACTGTTCCATTGCTGAAAGGACATGTGGGTACAAGCACTGCTGAGGAGGACCCCAGCATGGTGCAGACAATATTCTTACACTTGGGGACGAATGCTCAATCTATGTGGAACAAGACCTGAGCCTGGTACTGGGTCGTGTCCCTCTAGAACATGCTGGTCATTTCCAGTAACTTACTACATTCCTCTCATGCTTCCCAGTCTGCCTACCAGAGCCCAGACCTGTTGTGCCATCCTTCCCAACAACCGTGCATGCAAGGCCCTGGTGAAACCCTACTTCCTTCTGGGAAGGAAGGACTTTCTCAGCCAGCGTCTTTTCATGTCTTGTCCCTCTGTCACCTCGTGTTGCCCATCTGCCTCGTCCTGGAGCTATTTCCAGCATGTCTCTCTCTTCTTGGCTGTTGTGAGCTCCTGCAGGGCAGAGTCTGGCTGTGACTCACCACTGTGTCCCCAGCACTCAGGGCAGGGCCTAGCACTGACAAGTGAGCTGAATTTCCTCTAAGCAACACAGCAGAGGTAGAGTCCTGATGAGGAGCCAAGCTGTGTGGCCCTGACTGCATGTTCTGTTGGGGTGGGTGTCTTCTCCATAAGCCATGTGATCCTTGGTGGCAGGAACTGTGTCCAAATTATCCTTATGTCCTCAGCCTGAAACTGTGGATGGATGGAAGACAGGGAGGAGACAAGGAAGGAAAGAGAAGAGAGGGATGGAAGAAGGACAAAAGGGAAGAAAAGAGGCTGGTGGAAGGGAGGGAGATAAACATGGATGGATGGATGGATGGATGGATGGATGGATGGATGGATGAAGATGGATGAAGATGGATGCATGAGATAGTAAGGCCAGATGGCAGTGATCAAGGAAAGCTGCAGGGAGATACTGGGGTTGTACTTGGCTGAACGAGAATCCCCAGACTTGGGTGAGCCCCAGATGTGTGCTGTGGAGGAGCCATCATTTCGTCCAGGAGAAGCTGGCTCACTGCACCAGACACTGGGCCTTCCAGAGGCTTTGACTCAGTTTTCCTCTTGCTTTAGAATGGATCCCTGGCATTAAGGAGTCGACCAAGAGTCAAGAGAGCCTCTTTCTCAGCCAGTGGCCTCAGACTCAGAAGGACATTTGCGGCGAGGAGAGTCACAGTGACCCAGTGGACTCCGTGCCCACCAAGAAGCCTGCATGGCCGGCTGAGAAGAACCTGCTCTATGAGTTCCTTGGGACTACCAAGAACCCAAGTGGGCCACTGAAGCTTTGCAGCAAAGTGGACGCGGATGGGTTGGAGCTGAAGCGTAAGCTTACCCCAGCCAGGGCGGGGCTGCAGAGGAAGGGGTTCTGGAGACTCTCAGGCCCAGCAGTGGCTCTGTCTTATGCAGAGTTAAGGTTTTCCTTGGATGTCAGCATTTTTAAATCCAAAAAATGGGGACATAGCTTTTTCCCCATGTCCCTTATTAGGAATACAATTACTAGAGAAGTGTAGTTTGCTTGCAGGGGGCTCCATAGGCATTATCAGTGGTTTGAATATAGTCCTGACCTGGACCACATATCATAGCTTCTTAGGTTCCCCAAGTCAAAAAAAACTCAGGATTTAGATTATGATTATTTCTACACTGAGATTATTCATGCCCCTGTTTTCTCTCCCTTGCCCTCCTACATCCATTTCAATCAAAACTCTTTTCCAAGAAAGATGCCAATACACAGGCAAACAAAGGGCCCACTGATGATCACGTAAGCCCACAAGACATCTTTCAGAGGAGGAGAATCTGGGATTCATATCTGGAAACAATTCCAACTAATCTCATTCTTTTAGGCTAATGTTGAGTCACTCCACATTGAATTATTTGCATGTTTTAAAATATTAAAAAAACAAAAGAGTCTCAATCAAACATAATGTCATATGTCTGCAATCTTAGTACTTAGGAGGCTGAGGCAAGAGGATCTCAGGTTCAAGGTCAGCCTAAGAAATTTAGAGAGACCCTGCAACAAAAACTTTGCAATATAGATACAACAGCCAGTGCAACATTCTCAGATTTGCTGAGCGTATGGCACTGGTTGGGGGCTGCTTTCATCACCTGAATTTCAAGTGGCATAGCGTTTGTTTATATAAAGATAAAGTTTTCTAAAGCACTTGAAAGAATTTGATTTTGTGAATACTGTAGGTGAAATATAGCCACAGCAATCTGGTTTATTGTTTCCCCTGATAATCTGCCTCCTTTACTAAGAATGGTAAAGAGAGGCTCTAAGCCAGACTATGCTGGGGCTTTCATCCTTCCAAATAAGCAAAGAGTGAACTAATGATGTTTCCTATAGTTGGGAATTCACCAGGTCTTTGAAGGACCTCTTGGAGCTGAGATGACTTGACCCCTGACAACAGGGCTCACCAGGGATGGCTCTGGAGACCTCCTACCCTCTGCCTGCCTCAATCACTGAATAGATTTCCCTTTCCCGTGATTTACAGTTAACCCATCTGTAACAGCTGCAGAGAAGAACAACCTTAAGTACACAGGGAATGTTTTCACCCCACGCTTTGCCACAGCCTTGACCTCAACCACCATGAACCAGCCACTCTGGCTCAACTTGAACTGCCCACCTCCGCCAGTGTTCACCAATCACTCCACCTTCCCACAGTATCAGGTAGGTGGCGGCTCTGGCTCTCCTGAGGTGGTGGAGTATCTGCATCTGCGTGGGTTCAGGGAGGTAAGAGAGGAGGCCAATTTTGTCTCAAGCCTTGGAATTCCTTGGAATACCATCTGTATACTCCAGAGACATCATGGGGACAACAGTAAGACATTATCAATGTGTGATCTCATCCATTATTGTTTTCATTGTGATCACATCAAACCAACCACTACTATATACACATGTGCACATATGTCTTTCTAATTTCCTACTATTTGAATTCTAGTTCACACTGTGTTGTTTATTCCAGAGCTCTTTGCTATCTTTGGCTGGTTAAGTGCTTGGCTCCCAGGATAGGAGGGGTGTCACGGTCCTTGTTTCTCACCAGCTCCAGTGGCATGCATACTAGATTCACTAGGAAAGTCCCAGTTTACTTCTTTCATCTGAGAATAATTGTTTATGGCACCCTCCTTTCACTCTCAAGTATCATAATTTGGATGACAGATCATGATCATCTTATTTAAATTATATCCAAGAAGTCTGGATTTAGATCAGCCAAAGTGGCCAGGCACATGTTTATGATCTTTGGCTTCTTGCTAAGAGGGAATTAGTGGCCAGACACAAAGGTATGGTGAGGCATTTGTAGCAGGGTTTGAAATTTTACACACAGAACTTACTTATGCAGAGAAAATGTGGTTTCTTTATTTTGTCCATTTAACTTAATATCCCTTAAGAGCTGCAGCCCACTCAGCAGAAGGAGGGAAGAATCAAATAAATGTCCACTCTAGTTCAAGCCTTTGTTCAATCCAATAACTTAAACAGTTGCTTTAGATAGTACTGAAATAGTACTCAGAGTTTTCAGAGAAGATGCTCAGCATGTAAGATTTCTTAGTCTTCTGCTTCCTCTCCAAAATGGCATGTGGTTGTGTGGGGAAAACATAAGAACTTGGACTTGTGTGTCCAAGACTTTGTCCATTGGCTGCCCCACCTTGGCCTGGTAGTGCTTGGAAAGGGAAAACAGAGAAGGAAATACACAGATGTTTGGATTGTCTTTGTCCATGTCTTTTCCCCTCTCACTACCCCTTTGTACCTTGTGTCATTTCCTCCACTACAAGAACAACAGCCCTATGGTATAGATGTCCCGTGCAGAACGGGAATTTTCTCTATTGCATATAAAGACTCTCTGAGCTGGTCCACTGTGTGTAGCTCCTGAATCTTAAAGTAATTTAGCAAAGTCTGGTTTTTCAGTTTTATATTTAAGCTTCTTTGCTAAAGAGGACAAGTACCACTCTCTGGCCAGGTACAAAGGTCCTCATGCCCCCTATTGAAGTGAGAGATTGTAATGAAAAGTGATCCATAAAGGGGGAGATGAAAGTTGTCAGTTTTACATTAGCAATATTATCTTCACCCAAGTCTTGAGAGAATTGTTCTTTTCACTGATTCACTGATTCTGTCACTGTGACACTTCTACCCTTGCATTTTGGGGTTTGCTTATTCACTGTTTGTCTATTTATTTACCCACTGATTTGCTAATTTCTACTTATTTATGTAGTCATTTGCTTACATAATTTCAAAAACCTTTGTCCCATGCTGACTATAGCCTGAGTATTATGCTAGGTGAAAAGACTCAAAGATGACAAAGGAACTCGGAGTCTAGTGCAAGTTCAGGAATAAATCAAAGACCTAGGGGATGCACCTCAACCTTTAAACAAAGAAACAAAGGAATAATTTATTTAGTGTAAATATATTCACTCTAAAATGCATTCATAGAGCTCACCATGTAAGGCTAATTGGCAACGGCTTGCTGTACAAAGTGGGGAAGGTATCTCTTTGCTATGTTAATTCCTTCTTAGTTGACTTGTTGAAGTGGGTGAGATTTAGACATATTTTCTGAGCATGAAGGTCCCCTGTCTTCTGAGGCACTGGTGTTTGTATTGCAGGGTGCCTATAATGAGACTCCCTAGCTCGTGGACAGAAGCAGAATAAGGGCCTGGCAGAAGGACCCACAGGCTCTATCCATGGGCCCCACTGCAGTCAGCTGTAAAAAGAGTTGATTCTCCCAAGTAGTAACAAAGGACAGCATAATTTACCCTCTCACAGCTTCTTATCTCATAATGCTACCTAGTGTCAAGACAGCTGATCAAGGGCCCTGGGATAACGGAGAGAAGGCAGATTGTGAAATCTGTAGGCTTGGGTATAAGGGCTCTGCTGCTTCCAGGTTGTGTGGCCTTGGGCAAGTTAGTTAACTGCTCTGAGTCCTGGCTTCCTGTTTGTAGAATGAGTTCATCATAATTACAGCAGCAGCAGCAGCACAGGCTGCTTGGGTTGTAAGAATTAATTGAGTCCATGGATGAAAAAGTGTGATATCGATGTTGGCTTTTTATTATTATTCTGCTGTGATCTTCCAAGAAAGCAGGACCTGGAGGGAGCAGATTGGAGAACTGGGCCCGGTCTGTCCTGGTGTTTTCCCATTTGGCATTAGAAATAAAAAGAAAAAAAATGAGGTCCCACATCCAATTTGCTTGGAGCCCTGCGGTGGGGAGACTCAGAAACAGGAAGATAAAATCCCCAACATCCAGGCTCTCTAGCAGCTCCGGGGCTGCTTGGCATAAAAGAGCACCGCTCCCGAGTAAGCAGAGAGGCTGTGTGGGAAAGGGCCACGGCCTCAAGCAAAGAAGAGTGAATGTTTATTTACCCTTGCTTGGGATCTTGCAAAATTGCAGTTTTAACAACTGGAAATGTCCTTAAAGCTGGGCGGTGTTGCTCATACTGATGAACGCGGCAATGTTGCCTTCAAGGATGAAGCAGAGATGGGCACGGTATGTCCTCCCATCCGGGTCCCAGGGTGGCCTGGCACAGGGTGTGTGGGGACCATGGAGGCCCCCCTGCTATTCTCTGGCCCTGAGAAAGTGGCTGTGGCGGGCAGAGTGCAGTGTTAATGGAGTCAGAAAGGGGTAAAACAAGCTGGATTCTCGGCAAACCTCCCGGTGGCCTTGTGGCCCTCTGCGTGACTTCTTTATCCAGGCTCTGACCAGGGCCAGTGTCACAGGAACCAGAGGGGCCATGATGGCAAGTGAGACTGTGCTGCTTGCAGGGCTTGGCAGGAAGGGAACAGGGAGCTGGTTTCAGGTGCAGGGCTCGCGGAAGCAGGAAGCACTGGCACAGAAGTGTCTGAAGTGACATGTACCCTGGAGCAGAAAGCAGGGAAGTGCTTGCCTGAGATTGTTCTCTTTTGGGCATCTGAAAGGTGGGCCACTGGGACAGCTGGGGGGAGGGCTCCCGTCAGAGGCTCTTGAGCCTGTCAGAACTTTGAGGAAGTCCTTAAGAGCACAGTAACAGCTGTCACAACATTGGTAATTGGCACAAGCCACACCCAGGATGGGAGTAGCACATCAATAGGGCACAGAATGCTCTGAGAAGATGTCCCTGGCTGACAGCCGCTTTGGCCCTTGTGCCTCCTCCTATGGGGAACTCTGGATTGGCAGCTAGACGCATAGTCTGAGGCTGCAGGGGGCATGGGCTGGCTCACCCACAATGGTTTTGCAGTGTGTGTGTCTCGTGCTTGTGTGTGGACAAGTGCACACCCCACCTGCCCCCAGACAGAGCTGTGAATACAATTTCCATTTCCTATTTGGCTGAGCTGCCTGCCAGAGAGCCTTTGTCAAGGGTGGGTGCAGTGAGAGATGATGGACAGACTTAACATTTACAGAGTCCTTACTGTGTGCTGGATACTGTTCTCAGTGTCTTACATGCATTAACTCATTTTTCGTACCCTATCCCTCCCTACAAGCTACAGACATACAGGTCCAGAGCGGCAGAAACTCAAGCTAACACTCCTGGGGTCAAAGCTGCACCCTGGTATGCAGAACCACACAGACATGCGAATACAGTTACAAACATGCATGCGGATGGAATTAAATAAGCATGCAACTACACACACACACACACACACACACACACACACACACAGATGAGACAGAAGGGAAAAGACATTTACAAAAGGTGTGCAGACAGCAACTAAGAAATGTAGCTATCCTCACAGGGTTTGCAGCCTTGAATACACAATTCTGCAGGCGAGGAAAAAGGGGTTTAGAGATGTGGAGCCACTTGCTGAAAGTTGCAGAGCCACCCAGGGAAAGATCTGGAATCCAGGGGGTAGTCAGACTCCTGAAGCTCTTATCTTAATCACCCTGAGGAGGCTTGAAGCCTGCTGAGTGGGGTCTTCTGTGAAGCATGAGTTGTGGCCAGCTGTGGCCAACGCTGTGATGGGATAAACTCAACTCTGACTGCAGTTCCAGCATGTGGGCCAGAGAGATGAACTTGCACAGCTCAGCCTCTGGGTGGGAGCCCTCGCTCAGCAGCGCTGAGCCTCTGTCTCTTCCCCTAGGGCATGTACCCACAGCGGTCACCGAGGATGCCCTATCAGCAGGCTGTGCCTCCTCAGCTAGGCTGCTACTCCCGACAGGTGAGTAGGTGGCCTCCCCTCCTCTGTCCCAGCTCCAGGAAGACCTTTGGGTCACAGGGCTCCTTCATCTTTGTCCACCTGGTCACCATGTATTCTTTCTGGTGCACTACTGGCTCCAGCATGCAGACACACATACAGACCTGGGTGGGGAAACACAAACCAGTGTCCCTCTGGGATGGTGACAGCAGCCCTTACTGTGTGCCAGGCCCCTCTCTAAGGGCTCCACCTGCACTAAATGAACCTTCACAACCAGTCTGTGAGTAGATTATAGATGAGGAAACCAAGAAACAGAGAGGTTAAGTCATTTGCAGTTAACAAAATTTTGCTATGGCAATAAACGCCCTCAATGTCTCAGGGACTTTTACCAATAAATATTCAGTTCTCATTCATGGGTCTAAAGGTTGGCTCACCAGGGTGAGGGTCAGAGCTGGACTGCAGACGCAGGAGCTGTTGCTTCTCCAATAAGCACAGGGGGTTCTGAGGAAACACAATGCTTCCACAAGCTTCAGTGCAGAAGTGGTACTTGGTGACATGCACCTGTCTTCCATTGACCAAAGCAAATGATATGGCTCTGCCCAGCATCGGTGGCAGCAGGAAGCCACACTCCTGTCCTGCAGGCTACAGGGCCTATTGTTAAATTTGAATTTTAGATCAACAATAAATAAAATTTTAGTATAAGTACACATGTGTCTGAAATATTGGACGGGGACATACTTATACTGAAAGATTATTCAGCGTTTATCTAAATTTCAATTCAGTTGTATATACTGCAGTTTTACTTGGTAAATCTGGGAACATCTTGTTCCCACGTAGGTTAGAGATAAAAATTTGGGGTCCGACTGTGCAGCCTGGCACTCCGAATCACCATGCTTTGCCACCTGTTGTACACGTTTGCATAAAAATTCAGTATTAGAAAGCAGAAGCAGCAGTGCAAACACACACACTCAGAAGCAGGTGGAAGTGCAGACACAGTTATACACATGGACCAAGATGCTTCAACCCACACAGACGAATACCCACATACAGTGCATGTTCAGAGGGTATTGGGTCTAGTGCAGGGATGGGGCATGAGGAAGTTTGCTGGGGATGCAGGACATAAAGGGCACAGAAGACGAGACTGCCATGCTCCCAGGCTGGCTTTTCCCCTCACACACAGGTAGATGGACACTGCCACATCCAAATTCCAGGTTCTCTGCCTCACCTGTCTCCCCAGGGAGCTCCACCTTTTCTCTGCAAACTGCATCTCTGACCTAAAATATGCTAGAATGTTTGGGAAGACAGAGATGGGCCTACAGGTGTTCGCCGCTTTATTACCTGGGCTGGCACTGCTTTGTGGGCAGTAGGAGCCTTCCACAACCTGATGTGAAACAGGGATGACAGAGTCTGCCTCAGGGAACCCCAGCCACGTCCCCTTTACCCCAACAGTGACTTTTCCACCTTCTTCAAAGAAAACATTTTTAGACAATTATGCATGTGCACATATGTCATATATTTGAAGACACAAATATAAAAGCATGGCAGAAAATTTAAAAACTTTGGGGCAATCACTGTTTACTGGTTTCTGATATATCCTTTAAGTGATGTCTGTTTATATAAACATTTCTGTGCAAATGCAGCACAGGCATGTTCTGCTGCTTTCTGGAGATGATTTTGGAGCAGTACACAGAGAGCTGTTTGATGGCTTTTATCCACTCAAGGAATCACGGTACATTTTCAAACAAGCTCGTATATACACAAAAAGCCACCTCTTCCATCCCAGTCTCTTCCAGTGCCAGGCATGTCCTCCTGTCATGAAGACTTGGGGCTGTTTCTGCCTTGGACTCCATAAGGACTTGCCCTGGGAGGTGACCTTTTGTGTCTGCTTGGTGAGCTCCTGGCATGTTCACCCTCTCCTTCCTGGGTTTCCATGCCTGTGTCCAGCATCACCAGTGCTTGCATCCTCACTTTGGGGACAGTGACAAAGACCAGGGAGGAACTCAGATTTCAGAGATGGCACAGCAAGCCAGGCTGGAAAGGGGCACAGGCTTGGCATGGCCTGTGGGCTTTTTTTTTTTTTTTTTTTTGTACTTGGGATTGCACTACATTATATCCTCAGCCCTTTCTTAATATTTAAATTTTGAGACAAGGCTTGCTAAGTCTCTTGGTTGCCTAGTTGGGCTTGAATTTGAGATCTTCCTGCTTCAGTTTCCCAGACTTCTGGGATTTCAGATGTGTGCCACCACACCCAGATCTCACTGGGGTTCTAACTGCAGTTCAGAACTGGAGACACCCACTGAAAAAGTCATTTGACTTCTCCAAACCCCAGTTTCCTCATCTCTAAAACAAGAATAATAATGGCCCTACCTCACTGGGCTGTATGGAGGTTTAATGAGAGAATCCATGTGACCGTCTGGCACCCATTGAGCACTCAAACATGCTGGCCCGAGTGGCTTGTTAGAGGCTCTCCTGGTGCCATTCTCCTGAGCACTAGGACTCCAGAATCTTGGCAGCAGAGTGGAAATCCAGGAGCTTCCTCACTTTTTGACAGAGACTGCCCTCAGCACACAAGAGATAGATATCAGCTCCATAGGAGACAAGGTTTCTGATTTTGTCAATAGTGGAATACAATGCTTAGGAGGTGATGATGAACTCCTTGTTATTTCAGGTATTTAAACAGATGTTAGCATCCTCTCTCTCCACCTTGCAGACATTCACTAGGCGTATGTCTATTGAGCAGTCACTGTGTGCCAGGTGCTGTCCTGGAGCTGGGAGGTATCAGCCAGTAAGGCAGAGGACGTCCTTGCCTTGTCAGGGACAGCAGAATAGGAGCTCAGTTCTTGCTGAGAGTTTATTCAAGGTAGTCTCAGGAATCCCTTAAATTCTTGTCTTTCCTTTGGGTTTGAGCTGAGCCCTGTTGTCCATTTGCCCTTTCTTCTAGTCTCAAACCGTCAGATTAGGTAGCAACTGGCTGTGTGTGGTTCTGTAAATTTAAGTGAACTAAAAGTGAAATCCCCAATTCCGTTCCTCACTGACCCAAGCCAGATCTTAAGTGCCCAGTGGAGCCTTATGTGACTCCTTGCTGGGCAGCACAGACAGACCACTTCCACCACTGCAGGGACGTCCCCTGGGCAGGGTTGTCTTCAACTTGGAAGCGGCCGAGATTGTGTGATAGAAGCCAGTGCTGTGTAAATCACAGCAGATTTGCTTGGGATAATAAAAGCTTTAAAAATGAACAAGGAGCTTTGGGGATAGTTATTGACAGAGGGAAAGGAAGGAAGACAGAGAAGAGGATGGAAATAATATTGAATTGCTATTTATTATGTGCTTGTCTCTTTACTTGTATCAACTAATCCGATCCCCTATATAGATAATGTTTGTCCATTTTACAGGTGAGGCGATTGAGGCTCGGGTAAAAACTAGGTAACTTGCCAACCTCACTTAACCCTGGGCTTTTTTCATCCCAACGTATTGTCTTCTATTTGCCTACATTGACTGGAGGCACAGAGGCGAGGTGGCTGGGTCATTTAGGGTTAAGGCTGGGAAATGGTGACCTCACTCCTCTCCTCTCTGACCAGCAGGTGACACTCTACAACCCACAGCAGATGGGCCAGCAGATCTTCCGCTCTTCCTACACCCCCCTGCTGAGCTACATCCCCTTTGTCCAGCCCAACTACCCTTATCCACAGAGGACACCTCAGAAGCTGCCCACCAATCCCCGAGACCCCTCTCCCATGTCAGGAGACGGCCCGCAATACCTCTTCCCCCAAGGATATGGGTGAGTCCTCCAGCTACGCCAGAGGCCCCACTTGTATCTGGAGAGCTTCTGGAGAGGGGAGGCTAGTGGGCTGGGCTCTGCAGACCCTTTCTTGGTCTGTGTACCCATGGCTGTGGGGAGGTGAGAGTCTTCTGCTGTGAGCAGGCTGGGGTAGAGGTGAGCAGGCTCTGTAGGTCCGCTCTGGGCTGCCGCTCTACAGTCTGGCTGCAGAACTGTATCTGCCATGTCAGAAGCAAAGACACCCCACTCCGTGGGCTGTGGCGGGCAGTGGGGCATGACACAGTGTTCTTATCCATTTTCTTGGTCTACAACAGAATGTGGCTTTTCTCCCCACTGGTTGCACCCTAAATCCTTGCCAAGCAAATCTTCTGGACACCCGCCTTGACTTCCCAGATGGCCTGGCTGAAGGGTCTTGACTGCCTACTACTGTTTATGCTTTTCCACCAAAGATCCACGAACAGTAGAGGAGAGAGATTTGTATCTGTATTTGTATGTCCTGGGATGGTCTGAGGGTTTAGCAGGAAACATTCAACATAAACTCAATATTTCAGCTGAAAATTACACCCAAATTTTGCATATTGTTTAGTTACGAATTTGTGTTTGTTATAGAACATGAAATAGCCACTCATTCTCACCCAGAAAATCTTCAGCTAGTATTGAGGACCCAGGCTACAGGTGGTACTGCACCACTTCCCTGGGTACAAGTGTCCAAGGCATATCACAGGGCACATGTGGCCCAGGTTGAGAAACTCAGTTTCTACGATTAGGATCAAGCTACTCAACCTGACATTGATTCCCATCCACCTAGTTTCCTGTCACAGCCGTTCTCTGTGGTGTCCACCACACATCCCCAAACTAACATCCCTTCTGTCAGCATTTCTCCAATATCTTGTTAAAAGGGATAAATGCTACAAAGAGGTTTCAGTAGTCAGATCTGTTTGGGAAAAGCTGTGAGAAACAAAGATAAACAGATTTCTTAACTGTTGGAATTGTCAAATCATTTAATTTCCTAGGGTGTGTGAGGAATGGTCAAGAAGGTGGTCGATAACGTTATTCGAACATGACAGCCACAACCCTTGTCATCTCTCCCCACTACCATTCCTTTTTCCCTTCCCTTCCCTCCCCCTCTCTTCCTTGCTTTTGTAGAATACATCATGGTGTATTTCACCCAACACACCCTAGGAAGCACTGTGTTAATTTCTATAGTTAATTTGAATTTAGCCTGCAGGGAACCCACAGATGAATAGGGCCCACTTCCTCTCTTCAGAAGAAGAGAGCAGATGAAAGGTAGGCCCAACATGTTAGTGCCCTGACAAAAGAAAGACCAAGAAGATAGCCCTGAGGCCAGAGGAGGAGCCCTGTAGTGTAGGGAGGAGGGCTCAACAGGCCTGGGTATCCAGGCCCTCAGGTGGGAAGGTGCACAGTGAGCTGAAAGCATGGGAATGGAGGCTTCTGGCTGAGGTATTAGATTTGTTCCTGAAAAAGGTGGAAAATAGGATTGGAAAGGGGAAGTTTGGATTGGATTATTACAGGCTTTAGGTTGCTAAGCCTGGGGAGCCAAGGATTTGTGCACTCAGTGAATTGATGGGTGGAAGAAAAAGAAATGGGGAAGAAAGAGAAAAGATGTGGTCTGGAGAAGGCCCTGGGGGTCTGCACAAGATGTTACTACTGGCCTCTTACCTGCAGGCCAGCACACATCCCATATTCCAGGCTGTGATTGTGGAGATCTGTCCTTGGGAGGAAGCGCGGCCCAAGGTCTTGGTCAGCTGCAAGAGCACTGATAGGAAGCAGTACGGGTGAAAGGGGGTTGAGTTTGGTCTTTGCGTGTCTGCACAGGGGCAGGGAGGAGGGAGGAGGAGGGGGAAGGAGACTGAGGAAAGAAGAGTTTGAAAAGTTTGAGAAGTAGGAGGGAGGCTGGGGAGAGCCAGACACACTGGAGGCAAAGAGGAGGGTGATGAGTGGGGAGCAGCGTACAACAGGAAGAATGGTACCCTGAGAGGTTGGGGGAAACTAGGGCAATGGAGTCAGAAAAGTGACTCAAGGGGTGTTGGCCTGGATCAGCCCAAAAAGGATGATTTGTGCATCCCCAGAATACTGAGTCAGTGTCTTCTTGTGCCTATCACTGGGGATTTAGAGTAACCAAGTCAGAGGATCTCCTGCTCTTCAGGAGTTCACATTCTAGGTGGGTAAATAAACAGTAAGGAGATGAGCAACATCAGGTGCTGGGGAAAACGGGAGGAAGAACAGAAGGAGGTTTCTTGAGAGAAGATCTGAATGAAATGAAATGAAAGAATTAACCATGCATATATATGGGGAAAAAGAACGTAGGACAGGAAGAATAGAAAGTGCAAAGGCTCCCAGATGGTAACATCTGGATGGAGCACAATGAAGGAGAGAGAGAGAGCGCCGGCAGAATTGAAATCGAGATGCTGCCAGGGCCAAGTAGATAAGACTTGATAAGCATGGGGAGTCTTCTTTTAAAAGCAGGAAGAAGCCATAGAAGCTTTTAAACTGGTGAGGATGTGTTCTAATTTTCTCTATGAAACAGATCATGTCGGCCAATAGATGAAGAATGGACTATACAGGTATGAGCTGATGCAGGGAGCACACCACGCTGTTCAAGAAAAGAGATGCTATAGAGTTCATGAGGGTGGTGAGTGTAGGAAAGGAGAAAAATGAAATGATCTTGGATGTTTATTTTCCTGGCAGAACTGGTGGGACTTGATGCCAGTTACATGTGCACTGTGGAAAAGAGAAGAGTCCAGCACAATTTATGGGTTTAGACTTGTACAGACAAATGAGTGTCAGTGCCAAAATGCTAAGGTCAAGATGATTGCAGACATGTGAACTTGAAGACTTGTTAGATAGATGGATGGAACTGTGGATGGGTGGTTGGACAGAGTAGTCTAACGGTCAGGGAAAAGGTTGGGGCTGGCAAGAAATTTGGGAGTCATTAGCACATATGTGATATTTAAAGATATGGAATAGGATGGGATGAGATGGCTAAGCAGTGCATATAGAGAGAGAAGAGGCCCAAGGGCTGAGCCCTGAGGCATCCAGCAGGCGGTAGGGCTGAAAGATGTAAAGAAACCAGCAAGGGTTCTAAAAAGGACATTTACTGAGAGGGGAGGAGCCCTGGAGACTCAGGAAAGGAGCTGGAAGCCAAGTGCAGGAAGTGCTCACTGGAGGAGAGAGGAAAAGATGGGAGAGCAATGAAGAGAAGACTCAGGCCCCGCAGGAGGGACCATGGAGAGCACAGAGGATGGAGGTGGAGCCTATGAGGGCTCGTGAGAGCAGCGCAGGATGGTGCACGACCCCACCGAGACCGCACAGGAGACAGCCACTACAAGGGCCTCAGTGGAGGATTTGGCCTAGAAGACAGTCTAGGGTGTCAGAAAAAACGAAGAAGCAAGAGGCAAAATTGTACAAAGTGGGAGAAGGGAAAGCAAGGGGCTTCTGCCAGGTCTCAGGGAAGAATGGGCAGAGGTGTTGTTCTGCACCCCTTCCTCAGGGAGGGATAACCGTGTAACATATCTTCTGAGCAATAATACATTTTGCAGTTAAAAGGGCCTGAGTAATACTTACACTGAGAACAGCAGAGTAGATGCTGCAGCACCCCCGACCTCATACTCCTCCTCCTTTCCCCTTCCTTCTTCCTCTTCCTTGTCCTCCTCCTCCACTTCCTCCTTTTCCTCTTCCTCTTCCAGGGAGCATCCCTTGATAGCTGCAGTCCACATGGATTGCTCCTTCTCTTGGCCCCCTAGCGTACTTCATATCCAGGCCAGGCCCTCAACCCTTAATGCCATCAGAAGTTCTCAATGTGGAGCAGCTAGCTGCATGAGGTGTGGCAATCAGATAGGAGATTCGTCACGAGAAAGTTGTTCCTATAATTGTTAGCACCTGTATTTTATATAACAGAGTGGAATTTAGTATCCTTATAATAGCATCACTTTCAATCATGTATTTTCCAATATGATTTTTGAAAGAGAGAAAAAAAGTGTGTGTTTATCTTTGGCACTGACTGTCTGATAACATCTACTTCATGGTAGGGGCTGGACTGCTGCATATAAAATGGTGAATAGCCCAGGTGCTGTTCTTGCTCTTGTAGGACTTATTTTAGTGAGAAATGACTGAAATATAACCAAAGCGTAGCTGGTCCAGGGATGTTCCTAGAGAGAGACAGGTACTGTTTGTTACTAGCTGAGGCGTTCCAAATTAATGCAGTGTTCTGTTTCCATTACTTCTTCCTACCTCTCCCCTGTCCTCCACCCACCCCGCCTTTGTTGTTTTATCAATTCATGGGAGGCTGCCTCGAACGTGAATCTGTTCTGTAATATGCATCTGCCCAGCTGAAAACTGATTGAGAATCCCTGGATAAGACTAAATCTAGCCATTTGCTCTGTTGCAATTTATACGGAGCTCTGTTCTCATTCATTCAAAGTATCCTGGCAGATGGGTGAGGAAATTGCAATGGGATCCCAGAAGTGGGAGTACATCATCCCATCTGGAGAAGTCAGGGAAAGCTTCACACAGGAGCTGGCTCTTGAGCCCAGTGTTGAAGTATGAATAGGAGTGTCTCAGAAGAGGCAGAGGTGCACGTATTTCTTCTCTTACAAGGTGGGCTGCCATCTTCTCCGCTCTTCCTTCTTTCAGGGCCTAGCAAAATCCCAGGTGCTTACTGACACCTCAATGTTTACTTCCCTTATTTATGTTGAAATGAAGGGCCTGGTTTAGGCAGGAGCTGGTCATGGGAGAAAATCTCCTTGGGATTGTCCAGACTCTCGGATCTAATACCCAGGCCTGCCCCTACGTTCTGTGATACTGTGGAATGCCTAGTCCTCTAAGGCAAGTAGTGTGGTCACAGGCGTACAGGGAAGGTGCTCAGCTCCATGGAGACTTCCTTCTCTGAGGTTCTGGTATGGAGAGTTTAGGTCCCATAGAAGTAACCCTTACAGGCTCAGGGCAGTTTCTTGGTCCAAGTTAGTGGCACTAGAATGTACTGTCCTCTAATTGTGCCATTTTAATATATTTTCCCAGAGCCACAGTTTTTCTTTTATTGTGCTAAAGCTTTTAGCCTCCAAGCCTGTCATGGTCCTCACAGTCTTTGACTGCTGCAAAATTAATGTATTAATTTTTTTCTAACCTCTCCAGTAACATCAGGAATTTAATCATGACCTCTATCCTCCCTCTCTTTCAGGTTCAGCTCAACATCTGGTGGGCCCCCGATGAACAGCCCTTATTTTTCCTCCAGTGGGAATGGCATCAATTTTTAGACTTCTTTTATTCCCTCTCTTCCTCCTCTAGCCCTTGGATCCAGGTGAAGGGCTGTAGAATTCTGGACTGTGCAATAGCTTGGTACGAAGTTCTGAAAGCCAAGGGTCAGACGAGGTCACGGACAGAAAACAGCAAGACCAGGTTCATTGACTGACCGTCTATATTTATCACACACACAGCACAAGCCAAACACATATCCTCCTGTTCACACTCACTTGCTCAACCACACAGGCACCTGTATTTCACTAACATGAGTGAGTTTTATTTCTGTTGTTGTTAAAATAGGAGTAAGGCATTTACGTTTAGAAAGTTTGTATTTTATGATAAAACTCTGAACTGTATGAAACGCATATGCTTGTTTATTTTTGTAATGATCTGTGTAATCTTGACTGCTCATTTTTTCCTGTGAGACTCTACATTTCTTCAGGATGTGAAAAAAGACCGGAGGCCTCAAAAGGCTAACCCTAAATGACAAACTGTATCTAATATTTTATATCAGTGTCAACCCAGAAGTCAACCTCAACACTACACCTAATTGTGCTGGCCTTCATCTGTCTCGTCCAGCTCTTTTTTTTTTTTTTTTGGTTTTTCTCCGGTACAGGGAACCAAACTCACGACCTTGCCAGGCAGGCGCTTTTGCCGCTGAGCTAAATCCCCAGCCCCCTCGTCCAGCTCTTACTGATGGCCTGAGTAACAGCGCTTACAGCATCCTGATCACCTTTATGGAGGGTGCACATCTGGAAAGAGGGCACTGCATACATTATCATAGCACACGTTCTTTAACCCTCCTAGTCTAGGCCCACCACAGGCATTCCCTTCCCTTGAGCTTGGAGAGAGCCCCAGACGCATTCTCTGTAGGTGCTGCAGGCACCCATCACTGAGCAGAGTTGGTCTGTGAAATGAGATCCACGTGCTGTTCTTTAACAAACATTAACAAGATACAGTTCAACAGAAGTTAATGTAAGGATAGACTCCATGTGAAAAGTGAACTATGCACATATGTGACAGACTGACATCAGTTCTAACCTGTCTTGCCAGCCCTATTGGTCACCTGCAAACTCAGCTCCACTGTGAGAGCAAGATCTGGGCAACACTAGGAGCCCCACTTCTGGCAAAAATTTAGAGGCTAGAGGGCTGAAAGTCACCACATCTTGGTATGACTTCAAGCCCAGCGTCCACAAGAACATTTCTCTTGACCTCATCACATGACACCATTGGTCTCACTGGCATTTCTTTCTGGATCCCTTGAAACCAGTTCCCACCCAAGTTCCCTTAGGATTGATGGCTTCTCCCTTTCACCATGATTGGGGATTAGTCATGAGTCATTTAGCCTCTCCTTTCAGTATTTCTTGTTTCCTCAGTTCTATTAATGGCACTAGTAAGAGTTGTGAGGATTAAAGATAATATGAACTTAGTATACACTTATTGTAAACTTGTATTTTTAAAATGGTGGAGTAAAGCTGTTTCTGTCCCTCTTCTCTTGAAAATTATCCCTCAGTAACAAGGTAAACAAGAAAACCTACGCAAACTCCATTCTTGATAGAACTAGGAGAAGATGACATCCCGTTGTTTATACGAACACAGAAGTGAGGTGGAGGAATGGTAAATACCTGAGCAGAAGAGGGGAAGATCATGTCACAATGCCAGCCAAAGGAGGTAGCAATAAGAAGCAGACCCTCTTTCCCAGCAGACTCTTGAAAGTTTCAGCTACTGGAAGTAACAGCTGTTTGACAGTCTTGGAGGTGGGGCTGGAGAAAAGTGAAACCAAGGGGTTGATATACTGAGTATCTCCGATCTGGCCCTACAAAGTCAAGGGCCATAGGTAGTGCTACAGGAGACAGGAGACATTTCCTCTGAAGAAACTTATGGACCATGCATAAGGATAGTGGGTATGCGGACCCTAATACAAAGTCAGGATTAAGTGAAATTCACAGCAACGAGGCTCATGGTTCAAAGAAGCAGCAGTTGGGAGGATCCTCTGGAGAAACAGAATTGCCTCAAAGGCCTTCAGAGGTACCAATGGGAATTAACCTACTATTAACGAAAGAGCTTCCAATCAACTTTTAGGAATTGCTACTGAATAGGAATAGTCTCCAAGAAGAAAGATCAAAAGAAAAGTAAAAAGAAACTAAGAAAGAATAATATTCTAAGAGAGATAAGAAAGGGTAGTATATTTAAAAGAGAAGGACAATACATACATGTTTAAAAAACCAAGAAAATGTTTGGAGAAAGTAAAAAAGTGCTACTTGATTTAGTGTTTTTTCAGTGCAAAGTTGAAAGGTAGTATCAGAGGAAACTTGTGAAAAGGAGAAAAATAGAGGATACATTATAGAAGAGAAAAGATTTTAAAAAGTGAAGATAGATCCAGGAGACCCAATATCTGCCTAACAAGAGCTCTAGGCTGCAGAGTGAAAACAGAGGGATGGGTACTTCCTGATGAAATTTCCGAGTATCAGGGATAAAGATAAGATTCTACAATTTTCAGGAAGACACTGAATATACAAATGATAAAAGGTCAAGATAGCATCACATTTCTCAGCATTAACTTGGAACCTAGAAAACCCAGCAATAGAATTTGAGAGAAATTTTGAATGCAAATTATTTTAATTCCAAACTCTTCAGTGAAGGCAGAATGGGGCTATTTTCAGACACTCAGAGTCTCACAACATTTAGCTTCTGGTGCATTTGTCAGGAAGCTCAGGGACAGGGTAAACTATGACAAGAAGTTCTACCAACACAAACTCCAATAAAACAGGTAACCAGTGCTAGAGAGAAACTCAGGAGATCCTTTAGGTGAAAAATAAGGAAGGTTTTAGCTTACGAGCCACCATCCCAGTGGGTACAAGTGATGCAAGCCTGGAATACCAGCATTCTGAAGGCTAAGGCAGAACTGCAAGTTCCAGCCCAGCCTGGACAATTGAGTAACTTAATGAGACCCCGTCTCAAAAAAAAAAAAAAAAGTTGGAGACGTAGTTCAGTATAAAAGCCTTCGGTTCATTTGCAATCTCTTGTGTTGATGGAGTTGAGGAGGCTGAAGCAAAGGAAAATGGTAGATTATTCACAGAGTTGACTCTGGAAAATTGTACTGTGAGTTGTTTTATAGCAGTTGGGAGGTGTGGGAAGATTTAGCTATAAACTGAAATAAAAAATGAAACAATTGTTATTAACTCAGCAGTGAATAATATTTACGTGGTCTTAATAATAAAAAGCTCAAATATGGATTTAAGCAGAAACGGTGACATAACTAGAGTGGGAAGATGGAGGAGGAAAGAAAGGTGTGAATAGAAATGAAGTCCTCGTTCATCATAATAGGAAGTCAGAAGGTAACATCTAAAACAGATGACTCAAGGGAGAGTGGAACTCACACAATCATCTAAAAATCTGGAGGTAAACACCAGAATAAAGAGCCAAGAGAATTGAAGGGGCTGCCTATAAGAAACAGGATGGGTTTGTGGGGGATGGCAGGGATTGCTGCCTCATTTGTGAACATTTTAAGCACTGTTTGTTTTTTAAACCATGTGCATGTATTACTTTAATGCAAATAAATGTTAACTATAAAAATTGCATGTGGAAACCATCTAGTAGAAGCTCGGCACATGGTGAGTATCAAAAAATGCTCGTTGAGCTATATTGAGCTGCTACCCACACAGCAGGAGCCCAGTGCCCAAGCCCTCATCTCAGGCCTGTTGAGAATCAGATTCTCTAAAGCTCTTAATTTTTTTCCCTTAAACACTTATTGAGAGGAAACTTAGCTAAGGCAAAGCCTGGCACCAATGCTCAGTACCTTTCCAATACCCAAATTCCCCTACTCTGAATTCTAGGGACTCTTGTGGAATAGTGGGAAAAGACACCTTGAATGGTTTTCCTCCTGCAGGATCCTGGGGTCTGGGTAGGACTGCAAGCCCCAAGTTCGTATCTGTGTTCTTTGCAGTCATCCCTATCCCCACCTTAGTCATTCAGTATGTATTCACTGAAAACTCACTCTTTTGGATACCCCAGTGGGCAAGTCATAGGCATTGCCTGCTCCCATTAATTGCTAAGCCTAGCCATTAAATGATAGTTACTATGGAAGTTGATGAGGTTATATGTAGAGCTATGAGAGCACATACTAGGGACATCAAGCCCAGTTCAGAGGGTCAAACAATGACATCTGCTCTTAGAATCTTTCTTCAAGTCCCAAGCATCCCCCAGTCTCCTTCCTCAGACAACTCCATTTGAAAATCTTAAAAAGTAATGATAGCCCATGTGTGATTTAAGCAACAAGGCTGAGGCATAGCCTGTTTCTGTGGGTTCTAGAAGCTCTTCATGAAATAGTGGTTACTAATCACTGAACACTTACAGCAGAATGGACACAGAGTTATGTACACCACTTTCATTATCTACTGTTCATAACAGCATTGTGAGATGTGTATTTTGGCATATGCAGAAGCTAAGGTTCATAGTGATTCAGTAGGTCAATTTTGAGGGACATCACTTCAGTATTTTCTTACCCACTCTTCCCCTTGCTTCCCTGTTTCTAGTAACACAGCCCTGTGTGATGAACTTTGTTGGAACTTACATGATAAGGTCGATGGTTAGCAAATTTGCAGACCACTAAGACTTCTAAGTCATTTTCCAGGATTAAGCCACCATCACAAGAAGTGGAGGACAGGGGCTGAGGACTGGAGGGGTGAGCCGGGGGACTCTGGCATGGGGAAAGAAAAGAGTTGCCTAAAATGAAACACTGACTTTCAGAATTCTTTGAGCAGGGCTTCAGATACTCCTCCACACCTCTCCTTTTAGGGACGACATCCTTGGTTTTGTGTTATTTGTTCCTTAGAATGATAGGGTTTGCCATTGGTATCAAATATGTATTTACCTACTTCTCCTTAGTCACAGAATCCCACTTGTAGCTTAACATAACTCCATTTAGAATATGTAACTTGGTTCTGGCCAAAGGGGATGTGTGTGATTTCTGGAGGAAAACGATACTTTATGAGGTGGCAGAGCAATACAATGGAGGGATCTGAACCCCTTAGAACATTTTGCATTGTAGAGGTGCCAGACAAGCCCTAGAGGGTCTACTTCTGTGCACTGTTTATATGAGAGTTTAAATGAATTTCCATTAAAAGCGGCTGTAATTTTGGGGTTCTCTCATACATAGCCAATCCCACTCATAATTGACATATTAAAGATGAAGCAATGCCATTATTGAAGGAGACTTTCTTTCCACTACTAGCTATTCTTGACATCAGGCAATATTTATTCATCCATTCTTTCCCCCAACCATCTTTCTATGTATTTACTCAATCACTTAGTAGACATTTATTGAACATTTTCTTTACAACAGGCTTGCTAGATG